GATTATTTCCCAAAGTAATAACTTGGTTAATTCAGGCTTTTTATGTTTATCATATGATAACTAGAGTACTATCTAGATATCTGATCCGTCGGTTACGATACTCTAATGACAATTGCGGCAAATCAATGCATTACAGTCCATCGTCCTAGACATATTGAATAAAAATGTTTATCTGCAAAAATATTAAAAAAACTGCACTATTTAGAACATTCACAAATGGATTCCAGTCATTCAGATATTGAGAAAGGCTTTGGAATGTACTGGAACAGTCTAAGTTCTGTTGTTAATGCCATTCAGCGCTTTTTATCGTTGGACGGAAATGCATTCATATTACAATAAACAAAATATCATCTATGCGTTTTCACTAAAGAGTTAGTTTCTATGGAAATTGGCATCCGTAAAAAAATGGCTGTTTCAAACATAACTTTTAAACATAGACAAGTTGTAAAACCTATCATACAAAAGTAAATAGCACACTCAGTAGAGCAAACTGAGCCATCAAGAATTGTTTTTGCATTTTTAATTCGATAAGTTTCAATCGAAGTACAAAAATTTACCATAGTAATATTCTATGCAACTGCTATTTTGAAATAATTTGATGATAATTGTTCAATCTTACCCTAGACAGAAATTCTGAACATAAATTCAGGAAAGAGCGAAAAAATTTGATACGAACCAATTGGATCTGGCTCTCACCCAACTGTCTTTAAGCGATCGAAAAGTTATTTTCTCAAAAGTTTTAATTATGAGATGAATTTAATTTTATGGTTCAACATTATATTTTATTGTTTGTCTTTTTCTAAAATAAAATTTTCAATTTATAGGTATTAATCTCTCTGCCCAATGTTTATGGGTACAAATGAATTGTCTTCATTATTGTGCTTTCTTTGATTCGCCATCAGTATGTGAGCTTCTTTTAAAACAATCTCAAGTTTTATCATGTAAGAATGATTAATTGTTATTTTTAATAAGAATAATTTTTCTTTATTTTTTCTAGTGTTAAATCAACCATGTTCTTCATTTAAAAATGAATCTCCACTTCATCTGGCATGTACAGCTTTATCTCAATCAACGGCTCAAATTCTTGTACAAACTGGAGCTAATAAACAAACACTTGATGATGAGCAACGAACTCCTGCTGGTTAAAGCTTTATATTTTATATTCAAGAAAATAAGATCATTTTATTTCATTAGATTGCATTCCAAAAACGAATACGAAAGAACAACAAGAAATTGCTGATGTATTACGAGCTCTTCTCCAAAATCCAGGAAATGTACAACAACAACAACAACAATCACTGCTAATTGATTCAATAATATCTAGTAAGAAATAATCTATGTGACTAATGAAAAAATATACCCAACTGTCAGACATGGTTCGAGCCTAAATGTTGGCTATGAATAGAACTCCATTAATGTACAACATGGGTAAAGTTTCTGTGACCCGATCCGAGTCGGACACTAGGCTCAGTGAGACTAAGAAAACTCTAAAATGGCTGAAGTCTGTCGCGTGCTTGCACGGGGATATGGTTGCTACATAGATGTAGGAAAATGGGACTTTTTTCTCTTTATTCCGAGATATTGAGATCTGCAATTTTTACCATAGAATTTATTTTTTGATACACGTAACTGAATCATATTCATTCAACAATGGTTCGGTCGATTTCTAGATAACACGTCTATTTAGATCCATCATGTAATATATTAGTGTTTCTTATACAAAGTGATAGGGAGAAAAACAGTCACTAATCGATTGAGTTCTTTTGTCTCATTTCATTATTCTTCGATTTATCATTGTGTGTCTCCATAATCAAGTATAACATCTGTCTCCATCGCATTTAATGAACATGATATATGATTTTGAATTCTTATGTAAAGATTTTTGATAAGCTCTACTGATATAGAATGTTGAACGGATCGAAAATGAGTCTCCGAAAAACGTCGACCGTCTAGAATGGATTATGTTATAGTACCAAGACTTGAATGAACCCTATCTCGAGATTGATTGAGCCTACTAAAATGAATATGACTCTGCTTTTTATATCAAACGAAAATTCTATGCTAAAAATTGCAAACTTTGACTTCTTAAAATAAATCCTATTTTTTTACACCTATGTGACAAACCATTTTCTCCGTCTAGATATCTCATGGGCGCGAAGTCTTATAGAGTTTTCTAAATGTTCCAGAGTCTTACTCATAGCCAAAATATGGACTCGAATGGCATCCGATAGTCGGGTATATTCTCTTGTAAGAAAAAAAATTAATATTTTCAATTATTCAATTTTATTTAGATTCAGACAATCAGATTACGACACAATTTCAAATAGGTGAACGAGTTCGATTAGCAAATAATAAAGTATAAGAATCTTTTTTTATTCATTAGTTTATTTATATATGATTATTGAAATAGACTGGAACAATAAAATATTTTGGTAGTGTTCCATTTGGTGTTAACCTTTGGTACGGTATAGAACTTGATGAATCAATTGGTAAACATGATGGTTGTATAGGAGGAATACGTTATTTTACATGTCCACCAAATAGAGGTAATTAATTCAATAATGAAATTTCTTATCATACTGCTATTCATCAGGTATCTTTGTACAACCATCATCATTACAAAAATTAACACCAGTACCTCAATCACCTGAACGTGAGCGTCGATTTCGTCCAATTAATTTTCCTACGGTCGATACTAGTAGTATTACAAGTCGTGTTGATACTGGTAATTACTTCATTGTTAAAACCTAGACTGGTGGAAAAAACTTTAAAACGATATATATTTGGGCTGTTTTTTCTATAACGTCAAACAATTAGCTCAAATCACCATCTAGATTTGAGCTAATTGCTTAGCATTACAGAAAAAAAGAATTAAAAATACGTTTGTTTATAAACGTTTTTCTTCCACTTTATCATTTATATTGTACTAAAGGTTTAAAACGAGATAATTCGGCAGACGGTCGAACAACAGAACAATATCATATAGATGATCGAATATTTCTTTCGAAAAATCGATGTGGAACTATAAAATATGTTGGACCAACATCATTGGGATCTGGTAAAATAATGAATGAAATAGATAAATATTGATTGCATTTGATAATTTAAGGAGTATGGTATGGTGTTGAATTGGATTTACCGGATGGTTTACATGATGGATTTTTAAGTGTTGATGGACAACGTTATTTTCAATGTAAACCACAACATGGTGTATTTGTTCGAATTCAAAATTTGAAAAAGTATATTAATTTGATACGAAAATGTCATTTTAATTGTATTAAATTGTATAGATTACATAACAATGATCGACTAACCCATTCATTATCGAATTCATTAGATCATCAAATAAAACGCAATTCAAGAATGACAACTTCAGAATATGATCCAGCAAGTAAGTGTTTGAATAGATTTAATCTTCAAAAGTCTTTACGATATAAAATAGCTTAAAATTAATGAATATTAACACTTTACCATCTGGTACTAATCCACAAGGGTCGATGTTGAATCAACCACGGGAGTAGCTTATGCAGGTGATGATAATAACACTGATATGACTAATTTTGAGTAAAGTCATTTAACTGGAGACGAGGAATGGGTCGGATCTAGGACAGTTGCACAGACGGCTGTTTTCAGATTTAAATTAGTACTTTTATTCCTTGAATATTGTGTCGATATGGTTAGTTTTAATTTTATTTTTCTAATATGGAATCGTTGATTCTGTTAGTATTATTAAGATCTTTGTCATATGGAAGACTACAACAAAAACTGCAGATTTCTATCCTTTATCGATGAGAAATTATTTACAAATGATCGTGAAATACTTTTTGACTTGCTAAAATCATTTTTCACATTACTCATTATGAATATGTAACTAAGTCAGGTGACCGAACAATTCGTCGCGGATGTCAATGTAAGTAAGATTCTTTCAAGTACCCTCAGCCATTTGTTTGCAATGCTTCTTCAGGATATTTTAAGACTAACATGTCCATATGATAAATTATCCTGGTATCCTAAATAGAATTAAAACAAAACAGATTTTTCAACTTAAAAAGAATTAATTTTTTACGAGACTACACAATATTCGAAAACTATTTCGATTCGATGCTTTACTATTTCGAATTGATATTTTTTTATGAAGAAGTCAAAATAGAGAAGTAATCGGTTAGTAGCTTCTAGATTTGGTTTATAAGTATAAATAGAAATATGTTGCTTCTAGATGAAATATAGAAAATATCCGATAACAGTGTAAGATTTGTACAAGAATAAAATCAGACGTATTCAAACTAACGAACATGAAATACTCATAAAGAATAATTTTTCTTGTTATAAAAAACGAGTCTTCTATATATTGAAGCGTAAACCTGAAAATTCAAGAAAACCGTGTCTTCTCCGTGCTTAAGGTCCACTAAAAATGTTTTTATTTTTTTTTTCTAGTAATGGCTTCAAATATTGTTGAAGATGATCCAATTAGTAGATCTATGGACTCTAAGTAGATTAAATTCTATCTTTTGAAAAGTCTAATGACTTCGAGTTTTTGTTTTTATCTTTAGTGTGCACAGTATTACATTTCATATAGGTGACAAAGTATATTGTCATAATCACCTTGGTAAATCATTTTTTTCTAATATGTTACTGCTTTATATAAGTAGGTATATTTTATATAGCTATTGTACGTTTTATTGGTAGAACAGCATTTGCTGACGGTATTTGGATCGGTATTGAATTTGTTTCAAGGTCACTTGGTAAAAATGATGGAACTGTTAATGGACAAGTTTATTTTCAATGTAAACAAAATCATGGTTTATTTATTCGACCAAATCGCTTAACATTAACAAAAAAATAATATGTCCACCGTTGTTTGCTTTTTTTTCTTCAGGAATTTGATAACTGTGATTTTGTTTTTGTTTATACACTGTGATAAATTTGTAGTTTACTTTTAGTTTAATAATATTCTATTAGTTCTATAGGTATGTTTTTGTTTTTTGTAGAATAAAAAAAAAATGGCAAAAACACCCACAAGAAATGTTTCAGCGGCTTTATTGGAGCAAACATCAGAAAGTGATGATCGATGTAAGAATTTATGAAAAAAAACTATTTTTTGTAATTTTTTGCATTATTTTATTTGAAGTTGATGATTATTCATCAGAAAATCCACTTGATTTTACAGCTGGTAGTATTCGTCCAAATGAACATGCTTTTTTTTCTGATGTAACAACAATGAAAGAATTAGAAAACGATCTTACGGATTTATTACAACGATTTCGTGAAGGAACATTGCTTGCATTTAGTATGGACTATGTTGTTTTTTTGTTCATCTATATTTATTATATTTAATTAAACAAAAAAAACGAATAGGCCCACAATTTACATGTACAAAAATGGATACGATTCGAGAAACTCAAGAACAATTGGCAAGATTACATTTTTCTTTAGACAAAGATTTATCAACAATAAAGTATGAAGAAATTTTTTTTAAATAATTTTATTTAAAAATAAAACATTGTTTCTATTCTAGTATTGAATCGGATGAATGTCAAAAGAAAGCAAATGAAAATATGTCATGTCTTATGCAAAAAGTAAATAAGATGAATAGAAGAATAAATAAAATACTAACGAGGGAAGGCTTTCAACTGTTCATTTGCTTTTGGCTCCAGACTATGTGTATTATGTAGGTCTAAATGAATTTTAAATATCGCGAAAAGAATTCGTGCTATTAGGTTATTGCTATGGAGATACTGCACATCTACGGTATGTTTTAAATAAATGCTGTGGTCTTCCTCAGAATTTTCTTCTACTCGGAAATAAGAACGATAAATCTACCGGTTTATATGATTGATGTAAAAGATACATTATTATCATAGTTATATTTTAGAATCAGAACAGCGACAAGACTTGAAACATTCATAAAAATTTATTCTCGTTACGATCTGTCTCTATGCATAGTATCAAGTCAAAATTCGAAAATCAGTTGTTCCTGAGAGGGATCACAGTATTTATTTAAAAAATATCGTAAAAGTGTAGTATTTCCACAGTAACAGGCCTAGGGCACCAATTCTTTTTAGGATATTCGTTGTACATTTGGATGTACTAGGGTTCTGCGGGACAGTCTCGAAGAATTTCGTTTGTTCAATCCCGCGAGATAATGAGAATTGTTTCGCAAATTTTTAAGGACGGAACAAACAGGATTAGGAATAATACAGAAAAAAACCATTGTTCCAAAGTTTTTTAATTCTTTTATCAAAACATGTCGTACATTTTAATCTTTTTTCTAGCAAATATCTTAATATTTTAATAAAAAACTGACAAAGAGCTAGACTGTCACTCTATCAAAGTTCGCATAGAAAAAAGACTGACTATACAAGTTCGAAAAGTGTCACAACGCAATCTCATACAGCATCTGTTATTTCTAAAACTTGACTCAGCTGAACAAGTTAAGAGAAAATGAATCTGAACCAACTATAACCATATAAAGAAACTATTGCATATAGCATCGAAAATATCAGTAGTATTTTTTAGATTGAGTCATGTCAGTTCATATAAGAATAATCTCAGTTGTTACAATTTTTCGCATTTTTATAGCTCCAGAACCGAATCGAGTTTTTGAGAAATGAGTTTCAGATGCATACTTGTTGTACTCTCACGGTCTTGGCAAACGTTTTCTCATTTCGAAATGATAAATAGGTGTGGAGAACGAGTAATTGACTTGAATCGTCATTAAAATGTCGAGAAGAAGAACTTGTCATGGCAACAGGGTGCGTGAAAAGCAATAAGTTGGCTACTGCATCTTGTACTGTCAGCCGCCTTTCAATCAACAGAACGAACTAGATTCGAGACACGGAAAATATTTATTCCACAGGAACCTAGAATCTACGTAATACATATAATCTTGACTCAAAAGCGATTGTACAGTTTAAGAACTTTTCTCATCAACATCTTTCTGTAAGCGCTCAGTATTACGTACAAATTATCAGTAAATAAAGCAAACTATCAGCATAAAATTTAATGTTCGGTAACTATGATGTTTGTTCAGTGAATTAAAGATTTGTTTAATGTTAAAATTAAAGTATCTTCAACTTATTCAGTCTACTCATCTAAAAACTCGTTCATACGTTATACGAATAGTACTTGTATCAATAAGCATTTTTTATTTTTTCAATGAAAACGTTTTTATTTACAGTAACATCTCTACAATTTAAACATCGCCGGGATCGACGAAGATCATTCGGTATAGTAGGATGTTTATAGAGAGGTTTAAGCAAAAATAAATCAAAATAATGAGTTTTATCACTTTCTGGCCTCCTTTAAAGTGCTTTTTTATTATTTGATTAAATAGTTTTTGATAGCTACCACATTGAACTTTTACACTAGACGGATTGCAAACACTAGCTAAAATCATGATTCACTTTATTCTTCAATATTTTCCTTTAAGAATATTTTACCCAGTACCGATGGACACTTGAAAGTTATTTCTTAATTTACGATGAAATAAACTACGTTGTTTATCTTTGATTAAAATAACTTATCTGGTCTAAATCAAGAACATTGTGAGATACCATATTTCTTTTTCTTTTTCACTTTTGTTGAATTAAATCATAGAGTCAATTAATTTCTTGATAATTATCTTCACAGCTTTAATCATATAATTTATTTAAATAGCACTTTATACTAATGTTCACATTTAGAATCTAGGACTGTTCGCTGAGGCAGATTTGATTGTAACTAAAAGTATGATTCTCTCCATTGACAGGGGTATGAGAGTAAATGGTCCCATCAATCTCAACTATATCCGCAGCAACATCTCACGCCAACACTCATACGATGAATATAACGAGCCATCGGAAGTTTGAAATGTACATCTTTTTTTTTTTCGTTCTGTTACAATTTTGAGGCTCTCGACAGCCAACAGAATTGAAGCACTTAAATACTGTATTCTATCTAGTAAGCATTCTCAACTCCTTAGGCGCATTTTAACTGGTCGAAGTCTATCGAAGTTCTGACTAATCGAAGAAATCAAACATATTGGACGAATATTTTTTAGCGTTCCAATAAAATCAAACCTGGCACAATAACAATTTCGACTACTGAATTTAATTTTAATGAAATGAAACTTCTGCAAAAAGCTTTTTTTTCTTTGAGATGTCATATTTATCAAATGAGTTCTTTGTATATTAGCTGAAATTCAAGTAAAACTATTCCTGTGACTGGAAACGTGCAAAGGTTTTGTTTTTCTTAAATAAAATTAAAATAACAAACACAATCTTCAAAGTATTATCTTATTATCAATTGTAAAAGATACCTTTCATAGAAGAATAATAGCTCATATTTAGATGGGTTGAATTGACCCAGTATCAAGTCCTCGACCTACCGAAAAGTGACTATCTAAGAGTTCTTTATAAAATTTGACACTCATCGAATGACCGACCCGTTGGTAAAAAATATCTACTTAGCATTCGTTATAAAATACTGAGCAACTAAATACAAATCAAATAAAGATATTTTTTATTTGAATATAATATTTTTCTTCTTTTCTTTTTTACAGTTACAAAAACTAACTGAAGAAATGTAAGTAAAGCTTTTTTTGTGAAAACGAAGTTCTTATAGATTTTTTTATCATTATTTTATAGTGAAAAATTACCTCAAATGCCTTCTGATCATCCAGTTAAAAGTGGAACTGAATAAATATTCTTTTTTCTTCTTTTTTGAAATAAAATTCATAACAGAAAAATCATTTCATTAGCATAAATCATAAGCTTTTATCAACATGAATCATAAGTTTTCATCAGCTTTCTAGAACATGACTTGTTATTACACAATCAAATGAAACCCTTGCATAAGAAGCTAGGCAAAAAAAGCACATGTATTTAAAGAGTAACGAAAAGAAATTCAATAATAATATTGAAAATAATATCTATTCACCATGATTTCATATCCAGAAACTGAACAATTCCGAGGTGTAATCACGAAAGTCCTTCGATATACTCGTCGGCGTGAAGAAGATCGAGATAAAGAATTACCTGTTATGAAATTTATTGGTACTGTTAAATTACATGGAACTAATTCAGCTATTGGTTATCAAAAAGATTCAGGACATTGGTGTCAATCACGAAATAATATAATTACACCACAAAAAGATAATGCTGGTTTTGCACAATTTATTGATCCATTAGCAGATGAATTGTTTAATGATTATGTTCTTCCTCAAAGTTCTATAATTCGAGAACAATATGAACAAGGTCGTAAAATTATAATTTTTGGTGAATGGTGTGGTGGAAATATTCAAAAGAATGTTGCTATATGTGGTCTGACGAAAATGTTTGTCATATTTAAAATACGAATTATTGAAGAAAACATAACAACAATTGAAGATGAAAATGAAGATGATATACGAGTTGATAAGAATACTTTTTGGATTGGACCAAAAGACTGGTCAAATATAAAATGGCATGAAAAATTGATTTATAATATTTATGATTTTCCTACTTATGAAATTGATATTGATTTTAATTTTCCAAAACTTTCACAAAATAAACTTATTGACATTACTGAAGCAGTTGAACGTCAATGTCCTGTTGGAGAATATTTCAATAAAGTAGGTATTGGTGAAGGTGTTGTATGGACTGAATGGACATTAACAGGAGGACATTTAACATTTAAAGTAAAAGGTGAACAACATTCAGTCAGTAAAGTTAAAACATTAGCACCAGTAGATACAGAAAAATTAGCAAGTATTCAAGAATTTATTGATTACGCATGTACAGAAAATCGCATGCTTCAAGGACTTGATTATTTACGTGAACAACAATTAACAATTGAAATGAAAACTATTGGAACATTTCTTAAATGGCTTCTCCACGATATTATCAAAGAAGAAAAAGATACTATGGAAAAATCAAATATTGATCCTAAAGATATTGGACGCGCAGTACAAAGTAAAGCAAAAACATGGTTTCAAGAACATTTATCTTGATTTTTATTCAATTTTATAATAAATATTCTATAACTATTTCTACCGTGAATAGATTACAAAAAAACAACCTACTAATAGGATATGCACAGCTTTGTAGAGAAAGACTTCCTATATATAATGGTGTGCGTATTATCAGATTCTGCTACATACCATTGATATTTAAATGGATAGCGTCACATTCTACCGTATCTGGAACGATGGTGGCGCTATCTATCGACATGTCTACAGTACGTGCGTGCAGTAGAACTTGATTATGTGCGTATCATTAGATAGCGAAACTGTTTCTCTACAAGTTTTACATAGATTCTTTTCTGTAATCAAAAATCAGCGAAAAACTTATAGTCACATTTAGTTTTATTGAATTCATTCTCTCAAATCAAATCTAAGACAAAAAATTGCATTGCTTATTCATACATTTATTCTAGTTTATGCATAAATCAAGCAAGATTTCGAACAAAAGAATTACCTCATAGAAATGCTTTTTCAAATTAAAGCTAGAATGAAAGTTAATCTTTTAATTAATCATTTATACGAAATTTTCAAAAAAGAATACTCATTTGGTTATTTGAGAACCGCATTGGAAAAGCCTTAAAGTCTGGTTTTATTTGTTTCTGTCTCGAAAAAAAAATATATCAAGTGAAAGAGAGCAAGTTACTGCACATTTAGCTTGATGTAAAACTGTAAAATCTGGTGCTAAAACAAACAATTTCATCTGCTATCAAAATGAATAAAAAAAAGTTGAATTCTCTTTTTCATTTGAATATTTGAAGAAAGTTTTGTTTGTACAAAGTTTGAAGCCAAAACTCTTACGTAACCTGAGAAAGATGAAAACTTAGTAAAATTTCTAAATGCCAAGAAAGAAGGTATAGAAAACCGAACTATTGTACACTTTTCTATTACTCTCTAGTACTCATCAAATAAGCATAGCTTCGATCGAAAAGCGATTTGACATTTGGGGAGTTTTTCTCGTGACATATTCTTGTTGTTGTTTATAAGCAGAATCTACATATTATTATTCTGATTATATACATATCTCATTCAACTGAATAACAAATTTAATATTACTCATTAAAAAAGTAGGCGCGCTTAGATTAATGCTTCATCCATATGATGAAATGGATGATGTAACAAGCATTGTCGGTATCATAATTACATCTATTGTTCTTCTTATTACAATTTTGACTGGAATTTTATACTATCTCATCGTATATCGTTATCATAAGCAACAAAAACAAGCAGTTAGTGATACTGATATCTCTACAGTAACAGAAGAAATAAAAGTTTCAACGACATCATTCTGAAAACCAATATAATCAAAACTTCATGCTTTGTTTTTAAATAAAAGATTCATTATGATTGAAAATAAAATATTAGCACATATAAGTTTATTTGCTCTTGTACTATAACTTAGTATCTAATGAAAATCATAATTCTATATTTTTCTCGGATACTGATACGTTTTCAAGTGATATAAAAAAAAAATAATTGCATAATAACCTTTCTTGTTGGTACAATCACTGGCATAGTATGGTGAATTATCATTGATATATTAGTTTATTCAACCGAACATGTATTTGTTCGAGTTTACATTCTACCTAGGATAGCTATAACATTGTTGCTTATTATTCTTCATTTCATTCCTAAATACAGCAATACAAATGGATAATGAAATAACAAATATATTTAATGGTACTCTAAGTTTATATTGTTATGCTTCAACAAAATGTGTCCGAGTGTTGTGTTTTCTTGCTTTTCTTATTATCCTTTTAGCTGTTATTAGTAGTAATCTGGATATTTATTGCAAATTATGCTACTTCAAATGAAATAGATAAAAAATCATGTTATGTACAATGGTTTGGAATTGGTAATATATGGTATTTACAATATTGCTTGCTGTTGCTGCTTTATTAAGTCGATTTGAAAGAAAAAAAAAATCGATTTAATGACATCATAAATATAAAAAAAAACGATCACTGACGACATCTGAACATATTTTTTTTTTCTTGTTTTTCTTCTTTTTTTAGCGAATACTGTTTGACACACATATTTAAACTTGTAAACAGTTTAATATACATTAAAAAAAAATACGTTTAATAGACTAGACATATGAATTATTTATGTCAATTTAAAACATGACTTCAGGAAATTTAATGAAAAATGCACATTCAAAAATCGTACTTGATTATTCATTTTGTAATTCAAGTAATATATGGAATTATGTTGGTATTATAACAATTATTCTTTTTCTAATTATTTTAATATCATATTTAAAACATCGACAACGTCAAAAATCATTACGTCATTATAAAACAAATTATAATTGGTTTTATATATTTATTTTAATTTTACTTGCGTTAATTTTTGTTGTGCCATGCATGTGTTGGTTACTAACATTTGTTGAAATTTTAGTTACATTTATACGTTATGGTCATATTCCAGCATCACCATTACCAATACTTTCATTACCAATACGGTTTTTAGCATTTGTTTATGTGAAAATTATTTCAGCTATATATATGTATTTAACAGCACCAGGAACATTTATTTTTCTTTTATTCTTTATTATTTTAACATGTATTAAGTTTGTAGTTCTTATAACTGTGCGTTTCGGTTTACTAGGAGTTTTTCTTTGTTCATGGATTGGTTTTGCTATACCATTGTATGCATTGAGTGAAGTTGGAAATATTGATTCATGGATTGACTTAGCATTTAATAGTCAATTACCATTGTTTATTATCTATAAATTTTTACCACTTCTTCTTGCTATACAATCACTGATTTTATGGATATTTCTATTCATTGTATTTCTTATTGGGTTTTATATTAAGTTTGGTTTAACATTGTTATTTGTTTGTAAATGTTTACTTATTATTGTCCTTGTACGTTTTACATATGTGATAGGAAAAGGCTTTATTGTACTTGTTCTTTTTACATCGGTGACACCAAATACTAGTAGAAATAGTGATGATGTTCAATGAAAAAAAAAACGAAAAATAAACTATGAAACAAAGTTAGATGAATAGATATAATCAAGTCTATATGAAGAAAGTAGCATTTCATTTTTGATATTTACAAGAATGCTTGTCCTAGTTTGATGATAGAAGCCGATAGGAAATCAATACTAACTTATACTTGAAATTTGACAATTCTATTTTTAAGCTTAAAGAGAAAACAAACTTTGTATGCATCAAAATTGACATCAAACTCTCATCATGTGATGTAATATATTAATAAATTGAAAGAGATATTGTTATACCTATGTTGTTTAAGACAAAAGCAGATTTTCTTTCAAAAAATCATACATTCAGTTTATATTGTAGAATTAGGATGATTACTTCTGGAGGAAACGATTTTTGAGAGATGTAAGAGTGCGAATAAATTTTTTCGAAGGAAAATATCGAGTGAAATTTACCGTTTACAGATCTTAGCAACTGGTGGTGTTAAAGGTTATTGAGTACAAATTTTCCTTTAACGGCCGATGACAAGAAGCACCAGATTTCTTTCTCGCCACACTTTAGCAACGAACAAGAGCAATGAATAGCATTAACAACAAGCTGGTTTAGACCTCTCTAACATATTCTAAAGTCTTTCTTGAAATTTAAACGGTTGGTATATGGTTTTGAATGTTCTACATAGCTCAGTGTCACACTTTTACGTGGATAAAAGATTCTATTGATAAGAACTGATAAAACATGAGATAAGAGTATAGTCATTTCTGCTAGAATAATCCAAATCACCTCACCTAGATTGGCTTAGTGATCTGAATTACTCGAAGTGGGGTAATTGGGATCAGGTCGACACTGCTTTCGGCAATTTTCCTCATACTTTTTTTTCAGTAAATTGTTTTTTGAAAAATTCTTTCGTCATTGAATAGAGGACACTTCAATCTACTAGTAGTTATGATACAAAAGTCATTACTTCATGGCAACAAATTATTGAGAATGAGAAAAAACAAAACTAAATGAAATTTTTATTTTTTAATCCGAATTATCCCAGAGAACTCTATTACTATCTATATGAATTATGGATATATAGTGATTATTTTCTTTACTTGTCGATCAGCGCAACATCATACACTAAGCTTCTTAAAATCACAACTACATCATACAACTCAACTCATGAGTTCAGCTGAATTCAATTGAGAAAAAATTTCCCGAAGTTAAACTGAGATGAGTTGAGGTGTCTATCTCTATGCAAAAGGTATTTATTAGATAGAGAAGATTGTATGAATTGTTTGTACATTGAAATAAAAGAGTGTAGAAACTAAGAATAGATTCAATAGTGGGAGTCTCTATATCTGTTAGCTTGATATTTTTGTTTTTCGAAAACTACTCGCAACAATAATGTAAGTGTTTTGATAGCCGTTAGAACTGATCATAAATGCATATGAATGTTGAATGTCAAATAGTAACCTAATACTTTACTCATCTTTTGTAAACAACTCAGATAAAAAGTATAGATATCTAACTAAAGGTTCCTTCCTCGCACACGTGAGATTAACATTGATCACAGGTCTTTCTCACTGTTTTCAAACAACCAAGTGATATAAAAGAAAATCGAAAAGTCAACAATTATTACTAAACATTTATATGGATTCGCCTGTCCAATTCAATAAAACTTCGCAATGAGCAGATAGTGAAGTGGCACGCACAGAAGTTTTCGCTTTAGCTATTATTTCGCTTGATAATATCAAAATAGCTACTACATTTATACGACAGAACAATCAATGCTACAAACATAGATCTCCTCAATAACCAAATTGATCCATATTGCATAAAGCTTCTTAGAGCGGTTCCAAAGGGGCTCAAATGTGAAATTCATACGTGTTCTTCAGCTCAATTATGCTAATACAAAATACGTCAAATAAAAAATCTCTGAAAGATGAGTGTTCTTTTCCAATGATAAATTGACTATCAGCAAACACTATATTCTTTTTATTTCGCAATTTCGAACAGAAATTTCTTTTTCTTGACTGGCCCTCGTTTTTTACGTGTCTTGTTGGTATTTGCTTGGTATTGATTGTCGTTTTTTTTAATTTCATTTTTATGACTTATTATTATTAGTCTAAATATTGGTTTCATGGACAAATGAACCTACTGTACACATCCATTATGTCTACAGTAGATTTTAGCAATCTGTTGTGTATCTCGATGAACTCAGAAATGCTGTTATTGATTATTTCCAAAAATTAGAATTTAATTAGTTTACGCATTTGTGTTAACTATATGACAGTTGTTGATATCTTCATGTAATCGTTTATCTGCGAAAAAAAAATCAGAAACTGCATTATTTAGAATATTGAAAAATGTATTCTGGTCATTTAAATCCCAAATAATACACTTGAATGTTTTAGAACCTTCTAAGCCTTGTTATTACTATCGTTCAGTACACCTTTAATCTCGGTTGCTTAGGTCTCTAATGGAGGAGAAAGGAAAACCGTAAAACTTCTATTTCAAACTTACACTCACTATTTTCTTTGAAAATATATGTGAGTTCCACAAAAGATCTTTAGTTGATAGAGCATTCATTGATACTAAGCATACCGTCTAGACAAAACACTCTTCTTTGAACTTCAAAATAACAAACCAAGAATAATCATGCAAAGTAAATCTTTTATCTGTTCGATCAAGAATCTCACATGCGATCCTCATCTTTAAAAAAGGCTTTCGCTTCAAGATTCTCAACTCTCTATGATAGAAGAGAGGCTCTATACTGCTTTCTTTCACGGAAGATTTGCAAATTCAAACTTGTTGTGCTTAGCGTTAAAGAACGACAACATTGCTTAACAAACAATTAAAACCGGATAAGAACATACATGCTCCGAAGCAAATTTCATTAAAAAAAGGCCACTCTTTTCCATCCCACCAGTCTCCTTTGAGTCGAAACATAATTTCTATCACACTTCCTGTACCTAAAAATCGTCTCTCGAGAAAAAGTGGAACGTCACTTCGTTGGCACTGGTATGTTTTTATCACTCTTTGCGAAATTATCTCTCGACAGTCTTTTTGATCTTGTTCTTTTAGTTGCTTCATACCGCCTTTATTTCTTCATTCTTATTTTCATTCTAATTTTGTTCATTACACATACCTAGACTTCTAGAGCTGAATTCGTTGTTTTAGGATCAGCATGGTCACATGGCCAAAAAGTGCTAGAAATAAAGTTGTCCATATAAATGTCATGTCAAACTCATTGGTGGATCTATACGCAATGTTTTTATTCATAATTACGAATGACTCGAATAGGCGTATTGATATAAGATAAATTCATCGTTTAACAAAATGTTCACATTAACAAGACATTATTATGATGAATACTGTCAAATATAATATTCATTATCATTAAAAATATATTCGTATAATTTTTTTTGCAAATTTCACAGTGCGATAGAACTTAACCAACAGATATTCGATAAACTTCATCAACAGATTAATTTCGATGACGTTTTAATCCTGTATAATAAATAAAAGAATGAAATGATATGAAAATATCTTTGATTAAAATCGAATAAATGTCTTATTTAAGTTCTAAAGTCTTCCTTAGAATTAAATAAGATCAAAAATGATGTTTTTAAAGATTATTTAGGAAAACTATTTTCTTTTTCAATACACAACGAATAGTTTGTAAGTTATTTTCGAAATCAATTAAATTAATCTAAAAAATGCTTTACAGTTCCAGTTGCATAAAACTCTCATTATCTCTTCTACAGAATAGACGAATTCAATACGAATATTAATTGATGAAGAAAAAAAACACAAATCTAATTATCTGTTCAATGTAAATTTGACAAAAATGAAATCATTCATTATTAATTAATTAAATACCAATGTGAGTTATATAATCAATAATTTCTTTCATCGATCGGAAAAAAAGGCATTTCATCAGCTAAATCCTCTAAGGTTTGTCAAACAGTGCAATAAATACATATTTTACACAATTTTGTAACATACTCAGAAAGGTTTTTAGTTAAAAACCAGTTCGATTTTTCTTATATGTACCGATATCCTAATGCAAATACTTCTAGACAAATATTGATAATCTACTGATACTGTAAAGTGCAACGACTACACATTGAAACTCAACACTCATGACTAATAAAAGCAGTACTCGTGTCACAATCCGACTACGGCAATCGACTAGAGTGCGTTTATGCATGTGGCTGTGGACCTAGGTTTGAGTTTGAGCACTGGTGGATGTGACTGTGTGTAACGATCTTCTCATCACTCGCACTCACACCTGCAATCAATTGGATGGGCTCCATTACTCATCTATCGACTTTATTGACTGTTTGAATAAGATTCAATTGAATTGGTGACATCGGCGAGAGATATAAAACATTTCTACGTATAGATCAATATTTGACTCGATGAATACAAAATATAGTTTTATTTCACAATCAACAAAGACACATATTCTATCAAAGTTGACTTGATTTCACTTTGTATATAATGCTTTAACAAGAAGTTTAATTATCATTACAACAAAACATTCCCTATATAATGAGCTTATTCATCACTTATTAAAAAAAAAAAGATTTTTTTTTCTTTCGTTTAATCAATATAAATGATTTTCAACAATCAAAGATTATTCCTTCGTAAGAAATTAAATATCTTATTCAAGAGATAGGGTAATAGGAACATTCTTGCAATTAATCTAAAATAATAATATAAGTGATGGAAAATAATGAGAAATGGAAAATGAGTTAAAGATATCTGACTACCTATAAGAAAAGACAAAAACAGAACAAGTTCAGAAATCATCAATTTTAACATGTACAAATATTGTTCCATGAATATAATCTCCATTTTTTGCTTTTAATTTAATATGTCTATAACCTAATTGAAGTGCATTAAATGGTATACAAGCTTGTCCAATAAATGATGAACGACCATATCGATCATTATCACGTACTTGAAAAATAACAAGACATAATTCTGGACAATAAATATCTGCTGTTATTTTATAATCCCATATTGGATTTAAGCCATTGTTACGTATTGATGGTGTACGATGTTCTGTATAATCACATTCGATACCATATGTACGAACTTTGACATATGGATCCGATATATCAGGATCATCAATTGAATTATTTTCTTTTGGTAAATGTTGTCCACTAATAAGATGAATTTGTAAACGTTTTCCTTTTTCATAAAATTTTTCTTTTGGATCATACGATGAGCCATTTCCTAATAAACATGATGGTTTTAAAAGATAACCACATCCACCATTATCACTAAAAAATCCATGTTGAAGACACATCGATTCATCGTTTGCTTGATAATTAAGGGCAACCATTTGAATTCCTAAATGAAATTTAAAAACAAAAATCTCTTTTCAATATTGAAGCCAACAAAAAAAACATGCTTTCCTACCATAAGTCCAATAAAATAATGGATGTATATTACTTGAATTCTGTCGCACTGTTCCCGGATAAACACGTACTAAATGATGTTGAGTTAATTGAATAAGATCGAGATGATGTGGTGATTCTGTAGCAATTAAATCATCAGCTGTTGATTCTTTTAATGATAGAGAATGATAGCATTTTTCTGTAAAGTACAAGAAAAACTTATTGAATAATATGTTTAAAAAGATTGATTACATACGAGTAGATAGTGTATGCGATATATTAGTAAATGAAACGTTTTGACAATAAATTAATAAACTAGCTAAATCAGGATGATAATCCTAAAAATTTTAGTAAAAGATTAAATAAAAATAAACAAATGAATATATTACATTAATATTTGATTCTATTTCATTATTGATTCGATTCAATTTTGTATTAGTTGCTGTTGTGCCTTTGGAATGGCAACGACTCTATTTTATTCAAATATATATAATGAAATGACAAAACACGAATTTCATCATTATTACTCTAATTATAACTTTATATTTTAATTGTTCAGGTGATGGTAATGTTTGAAAATCTTCTATCAATGGTTTAGATAATAAATGATCTATTAAAATTAAAAAAAAAATTCATTTATGAATATAATAATAAAAAATAAAAGAATTTTTTTTTGCTGTTCACTTTTAAAAATGTCTTTTAAAAGACGTGCTATAACACCTTGCTGTTGATATGAACAATGATTTTCAATATTTAAAAATAATGGATAACTAATTTAAAAGAAAAAGTCAAATTTATTTCTAGAATTAACTTTCATAAACCTACGGTGAAACAGTAAATGCTTGTGTTTCAATAGCAATTAAAATTTCTTGAAGTTTAATTGATGTAGTTAATGTTTTTCCATGATAAACAATCGGTTCCATATTATCACCATCATAACAATCGACTAATTATGAAAAAAAAAAAACTTAAATTGGATAAGACAAAAATAAAAACAATTGTTTACTTTCAACTGCTCGACAACCAGTTCTTAATGCATGTATATAAGTTTCAGCCGTACAATCACCATAAACTTGATTATCTTGAATATAACTATTAAGAAACAAAAAAGAATGACATTTTTTGTCGAATAATTTATTTTGCTTTTGTTTTTATTCACTCACGTATTATGTGATGTTGCAATAAAATAATCAGTAATTGGTCGTGTCATATCATGATATATACGATGAATTTTATCCGGATTCATAATACAGAATTCATCATGAAGTAAAAGTAAACGAAAACCATCAACACCTATTTCTTCACATTGACGTCCTTCAATAGATGGTTCAAATCGAACAATTAATCTTGAACAATCTTCAATTGATAAAGCATTCATATGTTCTTCTTTTTGTAGAAAATCTTTTAATTGTTCAATGGTTAAAAAATTCTTTCTTCCAGCTCCTTGTGATGATGTTGAACTTTCAGGTGTTATGGATGCTGAACGTCGACGAAAACTCGATGTATGATTTTTATTTTTAGAATTTTTTGATTTTCGAAGATTTAATGAATGAGAATGATTATGTGTATTATGATTAAATATTACGTGAGGTAATTTATGGATTACAGTATATTCAGATAAAGTTCCTGCCATTTCTTCATTACTACTATCATTAAATCTAAATGTTACACATTGATTCGATAATATTATCAGTGTAAAAAATATAGACGAAATGCATTTTTGTTTTTGTAAAATTTAAAGGAGAGAACGAGTGAGTAATTTGTGATTTTCAAACAGTCCATTAATTTTTAAACAGATCATTACTTTTAATGATGGAACGTGAAAGCCTAGGTATCTAGCTTTATCGCTGAAAGTATTATATTTTTTATGGTTCAATCAATTATTCAATCAAAACATATAAATATTTTTTTTATGAATTCTATTTTGTGTGAAAACAAATCGAATGGTATTTCATTTAGTAGGTGTTCTACCTTCTAATATTATATAATGTCAGAAAATGAAACTTTTTTTGACAGTGAAGAAAATCAACTTGAATGTTTTTACATATTCACTTAGGAATATCTGCTAAACAAATATCGAATCGAATCTGTTTCGTTTTACCTTTTTTATTTTTACAGAAATACTTACTGACAAATAATTTTTAACAATTCTGGTCGTTGTGAGACATATTTGTAAAAGACTAAAAATTCATCTTTGTCTAAATGTGTTAATTGTTGATTATTTCCTGCACGTATATTAGCTTGATCAAAATACAAATCAATTTCATTATCATTTAATTGAATATTAAGTGTATATAAAAGACGTTGAATTTCATTACGACTTAGCTGTCCTGATTGATCAGAATCAGCTTGTAAAAATAAGTGCCATATCCATTTATCAGTTATTTCACGGTGCGTACGCATATGTGATTGATAACGAGTTATTAAAAATTCTAAACCTTGTATCCATTGTGAACGAATATCTTCACTTTCAGCAAGTAAATCAAGTGATTGACGATTATTATTATAAAGAATTGAAAAAGCTAGATTAGCTTTATCATTGGTAATTTTTCTTTTATCTAAGCATTTTCTCCAAACAGCTGTTGTAAAGCCTGGACGAATTTGATCAATATCTTTAATCATACATGCTTGACTTTTTGATTTATGTTTTGAACCAAAATAATGTATAGCATCTTCCGATAAAACCAAATAATATAAACGTGAATATGTACGAGCATTTGGTTTATATTTAATAAATGTTGTTTGGTGTTTAAGAATATTAACAATATTTGTTTGTTGAGTGGAGATTATATTTGATGGATCATTATCCATTATTCTAATAATAAAATTAAATTAAAAAAGTTAACTTAATTAAAAAATTTTAAATTAAACTCAAACCTTTTCCACTGTGTTTCATCCATATTTCAATAGGTTTCTTTTCTTTCAACAGTGAAGAAACAATATGAATGCACTCTTTTTTTTTCTATACAACTTTGGTTTTTTGTTCTGTTTTTATTTATTTATTATTCAATGAAGTAGGCGAATGAGTATCGTTCTTCAGTCTCGTTTTTTTTTAACTCACTTTTACGTACACTACTACAGAAGCGACGTAAAAACAAGGTTGACGAAGAATAAAATGAGAAAAGGAAAAAAAATTCAGCAAATACTGTAATAGATGGAGAAGAATAGAAAAAAGGACAAGTTCCAAAGCAATTACTTTTATTCAAAGATTATTTTCTTCTCTTGTTAAAAAAAAAACATCCAATATGCATCTATATGATTATATTTTATACAAATTAAACATTGTTGATTAAACTTCTCTTAACTAATATGAATATTTTCATCAAATATAAAAATTTTTTTTTTTGTTGATTTTATAATGACAAACATAAAAAGTAAATTGTCCTTGTAATTGTGACTAGAAAAAAACATGGCTTGTATTTCATAGCAAACAAATTTCATCTAAATATTTACATGATAAATAACCTTAGAGAATATTTAATATAAAACTCACATTGTTCAAGTATGACACTGAAAGAAAAAAGGTTTATTTTTATTAATCCAAATTATTTAAGGATTTATTAATAGAAATTAAATAAAAGTCAAATGACCTTTGACGTTAACAACGATACAATATAGTGCTACTAAAATAATAGGAAAAAAAATCGACATTTGAACTATATTAGATAGTTAAATAAAACATTTCTATTGAAAAATCATCACTCAAGTAAACATTAAGAAAGATTTTCGAATGAAACGATATACGTTGCTTATTTATTCAAATATCAAATAAAGCTTTTCTATTTCAATGAACGATTAAATGACATTCGATACGTTTCAAAAATGTTTCTCTGTTACTTTTTTTTTTTTTTATCGTATTCATGTTCAATTCGTCTTACAAACGAATTCTTTATAAATCATTGCTGCGTAAATCATAATCTATAAATAAAAAACGACGTATTGTTTTAATATTGAATGCCTGAGAGTAAGCTATTATTGTTTATTTATTTCTTATTACGTACAAAAGAAAAGTCTGTCAACAGGACATTATTTCAAATGATGTTTAATGTTGAATAAAAAATGTCCATAGAAACGAACTTTTTTTTTTTATTAGAATTAAAATGAAACAAAAATAGATCGAGAGGTAAAAGTTAAACAAGTAATTTTAAAAATGATCTTTTTAATGAATCAAGGAATTTAATGTTTAGTTGAAATCTTTTACTCGAGTAGAAAAATCTTGCAAAGTTCGTATGAAATCTTACGAAATCTTGTAAAATCTAATATGATCTTATAGGACCATAATTTTAGGCTTTTCTTGTGCAAATAATTCTTATAACGATAGTTTTATACAAGTAAATACGTTCTAATTTACACGCTATGCCTTTGATAATTGAAAATACATTTTCTGTATAGTGGTGTTTATTTGTTTTAGAAGTGACATCACAGATTATATTAATGATTCGATTATATACAAGTATGTTTTCTTCCATTCAAATTACTTACATCTTTATTGTAGATCATTTTAACAATCATATTCAATCGAAGCAAAATTCGTTTTAACTTACTTATCTAGGCTTATTTCAAGAGCAATAATCGATGGGGTATATGAAGTAATAAAAGATAAAAGTTTATTTAAACTGAATATTTCTTCAGGATAGGTGAGAAAGGATAGATGGATGGATGAATGAAGCTTTCTCCCCATCCCATTCTACCTATAATGACAACTGACTACGAAAATATAGAACAAAATTTGATATAAAACGTTGTAGAACATCTTGGAAAATCATCTATAAATCTTATAAGATTTAAAATTAATGTCATACTAGAATCGTACATTACAATTTTATCAGAAATAATGGATTTAAGATTACAATGAGGTCATATAGATACAATGTAGTTGTATTGTTTGATCTGAGTAGATATTTGAAATTTTTTGTGTTGAATAAATAAATAGGCTAAGAACATATTTTATATCGGAATAAAAAATGAATACGTTATTCATAAATAACATATTCTATCTGTTGTTAATTATTGAAAAGAAAAACTTTAACAATAGTAAAAATTCTTATCGATATATTAGCATAAACTAAAGAATTTATCATTACATGTGGCGGCTTTTTTTCTTCGATATTCAGTGATTAAAAAAATGTGCACGCATATCATTTGTTTGTTTGTTTTTTCAGATCGGCTTTCTATAGTATTATAATGAGTAATGATCTCTAATTAGTGCATGCAAGTGTCTTTTTAATTTACCGATACAGGAAATGTTTTTTAGTACTATATTCTTTAATGAGAGGAGAATAGTGATGCATGAGTGAATGGTGCTTTTCTTAGTTATATGAAATAAATCAAAACATAACTAATACTATCAAATATCAAATTAAAATATAGTATGTTGTTACCAATTGACTTCATTTGGTCTACTATTTCATTGGTTTCATTTTTCTATTTGTTAATATTCAATTTGTAAAAAACTGAATAATATAATTCATTTGCGAACATTATTGTTTGTTATTTAGATAACCCTCAATGACTCCAGTTATCGTTGTGTCATCATAATTGCATTGAGCTTTGTCTTCTATGTGATGAGATCTTCTTTCGAGAATCTCTTTATTCTGTATATGTCATAATCATACAAGTGCATATACCAAAATAAATAAATACCCACATACTTTTCCCTATCATCCGCTTTTGCTCGTTCTTCTTTGATTGTTGAACCTGAAACTTCTTGACATTTTTGAATAGACTACAATAATCAGTGCTAATACTATTGTTTATTTTGATAAAATAGAGCATACTAAAAAAATAAAATAAAATGAATATTATACTTTATTTAAAATATGGAATGTATAAAAGAATTAGAACGAATTGAAAAAAAAACGAAGACGGTAGATCATGAATAAAAGACTGAAATGATAATCATGGAATAAACATGAGAACAATTTGTTTTAGCTGATATGAACATTGAATATTGTTTTTTGATTAATTGATTCATGCTGGTTGCAATATAATTTCTAGACAAAATAATATATTTTGAAATGTCAATGATTCTTCATAATGTATCGAAGATTCTAAATGAACTATTCAAACGTATAAATTGATGTCAAGATGAAAATATTTTTACGTTATCGTCGGTACGAATTCGATGAGTCTGATGCTGATGGTCATGAAATGGTTAACAAAGGAACGAAGAAAAGCAGTTACCGTTTGATTCATTAGATCAAATCTTAGACAATAATCAATTAAGTCATTATTGAAAAAACCTTAGTAGCTTCTGCCATTTATTGCAGTCTCGATATTCGATGATTGTCAGCGAGTTGGCTGGTTGTCTGCGAGATAAAAAAAAGTGATGCGCCATTTTATAGCTGTACTCTCATATATATCCGTCGAATGTATTTAAAAAGTAAGAAAAAAAAATCGATTTTTTTTTTCTTTTAAAACCTACTCAACTATGTCCATAAATTTGCTTTGGAGCAATAACCAATGTAAATATGGCTTTTTGGTTTGTAAAGACATCAATAACCCTGGCATACATCCATTTATTAGTGGGTCATTAATGAATGTACTGTCCGTTTGAAGCATTGTTTGTCGATTAATCGTGCCAATCTACCTGACATCCTGCATACAGCTGTAAATAAAAAAAAAACAATTTGCACGTCATCTAATTATTTATCTTCTCTGGTTTTGCAATTATTAAAGTTTCGAAATGATCACTCATGTTCTTTTTATTTTTATTGTGCTACATCATACATTAATCAAATCTTGCATTTACATAGAATAATTCCGTAGTGCTGTATCGAATACATAGAAAAACTATTATGCATATAGCTTACATGACTATTCATTCGGAATTATCTGTGTAAAACATCTATTCCTGTACAACGATTCGTGTACAATTGTAACTTTGTCTGCTACTTGAAAAAGCTTTAAATTTAAAATATATAGAATTCTTTTCAATTTCAACAAAAGCCAATTGAAGAACAGCCACAATATCTACAGGCATAAAGTATAACAAACTGTTACGATGAGAATAAATATCTAATGTCGTTTGGCCTGAGAACGAAAAGAAAACTTCAATGAATATTCATCTGTTATAGAATGATATTTTCAATTATAAGAAGTATAGTTAATAATAACTTCATTGCAAGATCAACAAAAAAAAATTGTTTTCTTCTCTCTTACTCTAATGAATTATAGACATTCCAATTATAGAATGCAAATATGATGTGTGTATCAAAGGTAAACATATTTTTAGATTAAAAAAAAATATCGTAGTTCAGTCATACTGTTTCATCTGAGTAGATACCAGACTTCGAAATCGGGCCAGTTTTTGATGAACTGGCTGAGTCTAACTTAAAATAATGCTATTAAAAGTGTATTTCTTTTACAAAAAAATATTTCTACACGATGAAATTGCAAGATCACTGTAATTATTTATTAGAAGATTATAAAAAGTTTATTATCATAGTCATCATGAGTTGCATAAAGTCAGATAATTTTAATACTTGAAGAAAACAGCATGAGAGATAAGTCAAATTACTTATTGAACCGAACGCCTAAGACGTGTTCGTATGTCCTTCAACTTCTTGAAGACTCTCGTTTATTAATAGAAGCTCTCAAGAGTAAAATACCCTCTGAATTAATTCAAAGAGGCAGATCGGTTTCTATTTTTAGTCACACTATTGATTTTAGTATATAGTTAACGCTCATGTCACTTAATTCAGTCAACAATGCCCTTGGCTTTGTGCGTGAATGAAGAATTTCATCGAACCGAAATGCTTTGCTTTTATTTATTAGCTAAATAAAACTTCCAAATTTTTCCCATCACAAAG